AAGATGACGACGGCCAGGGGACGCGCAATGGCGACGGCGCCGTCGCGTCCTAGACCGCCTCCGCTGACGAGGCGGAAGACGGGGCGAAGCTCCAGAGGTTCGGGAACCGCAGTTGCGACGGAGCACGACTTCTACATGCCGAAGGCATTGTCCAATGCGCGGGTCTGGAAGCAGGTGCCCGTCATCGAGACGGGCGATCTGTCGGAGAAGGCGGGGGAATCATGTCCAAATATGGGAGACAAAGCGAAGTTCCAAGCGGGGCGGATCGGCATCTACGCGGCCAATTTCGGACCGTCGACAGCTGGCGCCCGGCCGCGCCCTGACGAGCGGGCGCAGATCCACGTGGCCCTTGCCGGCGCCATCGCCGCGCGCGAGCGCGACGATTCGACGCGCGCGGTTCTTTCTGGGGGGTGCGACGCGAGTGCCGGCGCAGCCGCAGTTGCGGGCGATCAGTTTTAGAATCGACCCCGCTGCAACTACCTGTGCGTCAAGAGCGGCGTGCCCTCAGGGACCTTCCTGGCTGGCATCAGAGACCGCGGCGGCGGCGGCATTGAACGCGTCGACTTCGCGTGGCCCCTCTACTGGCGGGGGGGGTCCCATATGAAAAGGTGGCGCAACAAGTATTCCGGGGCCATGGTGGCGCGCGCCCACCTGGGCCGGGGCGCGCCCCATCTGGGGGGCTGCGTCGACGTCGTGGCGGCGCGCGTCCACAGCCGCATGGCCAACCAAAACTGGGGCGCCAAGAAGCCCCGTGAGTTCTACGTTCTACGACTGGCTCAACTAGTGGGGCGTGAATGACCGCGCAGAGAATCTCAGCACGTGCATGTTGCAGCTGGCGACCTGGCGACGCAGTCGCGGGCTCGCCGTGGGAGTCGCCGCCCGGAGCAGACAGCGTGGCGATTCGGTTCCTCAGCGGTCTTGGGGAAGGCAAGGTTCTCCATGGCTTGGGCGCCCTGCGCGACCGCGAAGGCGGGCTCTTGGCGCATTCGCGTGGCCCATATTGCCATGCCTTCGACTGCGCGATTGGCCCCGGGGGACGCCGCAGATCTACGCGCGCAAGGCCGAGCCCGTCGACGTCGAGATGCGCGCCTTCCTGGCGCCGTTTGGCGCTTCCGTGACCGCAGTTGCGGACTTCGCGCGAAGAATGGCGAGCGAGGCGCCCGGCAAGGAGCGGGCGCGCCACCCCTCTAGCGCCAGGGGCCTGGGAGGGGAATCGACGCGGTGACGCGGCGCGGCGCCGTCGGCAGGGCGCGAAACGGAGCGCGCTTCCCCCAGGTGTTCCCCCCTAGCAGCGCGGGCCGCAGGTCACATAATGACTCGCAAAGTTGGAGAGGCAGGCGCAGGCGGGCCGCGAAGGGCGGCAACGCGGGCGCCGCAGTTGCGGGGGAGGGCGCCCAGGCCCAGACGGGAACCGCAGGTGCGGGGAATGGCGCTGGAGCTGAGCGAACTTGGAACCCGCGTCCGCCGCGGGCTGCCAGCGGCGACGATGCGACCGCTTCTTATGCCGCAGTGGCGGCTCGGTCCTGCGGCGCCAGCGGCGGCGGCGGAGCGCGGGAGGCGCGCAGTCCCGCGACGGGGTGGCAGGACTAGTCCCAGTGGGATTGGCACTCGACGGGATGGCAGGACTGGTCCCGGTGAGTTGGCACTGGGGTCGCGCCGCAGTTGCGGCTCGTTGCGTGCGCGTGGACTGAGCGTTCTCGCGCGTGGGCGGGCTAAGTGCGAGATCGAGCGGGGCTCCGCGCAAGGGGCGGGCTCTTGTGCGCGGTCCGCATGGTGCGGCGCGGCCGCAGTTGGTGCAGCAAGGCTGCAGCTGCGGGCGAGTGGAAGGTGGGAGAATCAGCATCTTCATCGCCATCCTGCTCCTCCTCCTCCTCCTCCTCTTCCTCCTCCTCCTCCTCCTCCTCGTCATTGCCATCGTCGTCTTCTTATTTTTTGGTCATCATCATCATCACTCGCATCACCGTCATCAGGGGCATCACCATCATCATCATCAGCAGCACCATCGTCCGATGTCGCAAGTAAGACTCTTCCTGTGACACCGTTCAAAGCAGTGCCACGGCACTGTTTTGAAGCTGTTTGAGCATGTTCGAAGCAGTGCCAGGGCACTGCTTTACATTGTTCTTTCGTCTTCATTATAAGGGCCATTCGCCCAGTCGAACCGCCGAACCTGGCGTTTCAAAACCGTGGAAGGAGCTGACGGGCCCCGCAGGGCCATGCCCGGGACCAGGAGGCACTCCCGACGCGACCCCAGGTTCCACCCCAGACCCACATGCCCCAGGGGCACCGCGGGGGGGGGGGTCCATCAGCTTCTCGTGCAGCCATGCCGTTTCGCTCCCGCTCTGAACCCAGAGAGCCTTTTTGGCGAGAGCGCAGTCGTGCGGATATGGCGTCTGAGGCGATATCGTTGGGTCTTCAGCCCAGCGCGCTGGGCCCCGAAACGCATCCTCCCAGGGGCCGCGCGCTGGCAATAGGAGGCCCCGCAGCATTTGCAGCAGCAGAAAGAGGGAAGCTCATCCTCTTTCCATTCCTGCACACCTGGCGATCGAATGTTTTTGGAGCCGCCGCGGCCTGCCAAAACACTCCTCGCCGAGCCCCGCCGCGTCATCGCACCCCCACGCGGGTCATCGCGTGCGGGCGGAAACGCGGGAACGCGCCCGGTTGAGCGCCAGCCTAGCAGGTCTCGGGCCGCCCAGGCGTCGTCCACAGGCCCCCCGTCCTGCGGGTGGAAGTGGTCAGGGAGCTCGAGCACCATACCAGCGGCGCCTACCACACCATTTGTGTCGAACAGTTCACTGTCAACCTGCCGCGCATGCATCTGGCTTATCCATTGGACGAGATCCCGCGCACGCGCTTCGCACGCCTCTGCAGACAGGATCCTTCCCGAAGGGACAATCCAAAGAGCTGCTCCCTTCTTGGCCCAGATGTCAGCCAGGTCGCTGCCTTTACTGAGCCAAGTATCCCAGAAGAAAGAACCCTTGGACGTTGTGGCATGCACGCGGACCTTTCCAACATTCGCGCTCGGGCCGCGGCTTTCCCACCACAGCTGCCGCATATGATGATTGGTATTGCCAGGCGAAAGGGCCTTGCATGGATCCACCGCGCGACCCACCGAGCCCGAGCAGTCCTGAATAACCAATGAGCGGTCCGTCCACGTCCAGCTGCACCGAAAACATCGCGAGCATGTCGATAGCAAAGTCCTCGGCATTTCGAGAGCTCTGACTCCGAGATCACGCCAATGGCACCGCCCCGTACATTGCACAACGAAAGCTACCGTCGTCGCTGGTACACACGACCGTAGTGTGTGCAAGCTTCCGTATTGTGTGCAGTACGAGGAGCCATCGGCGAGCACTTCACCTTCGAACAGCCACCCTGGCAAGCAGCCGATATCTACTTCGGCGCGGCCGAACACGTGTTCGGGTGAAGGGACCAGGCTCCTCGCAACAAAATTCACCGTGCAGGCTACCGATTGCGGCTACGGCTCGCGCGTCATTGAAAAGCTCAGGCGGGTAATCGCTTGCGTGCACGGGCACTCGAAGACTGTGCCACAAGGTGCCAGGAACACCGCGCTGCTTGTTCAGGGATCTGCAGGACTTGCCAGCATCAACATGGCGCCGGTGGCACCCGTGCGCACCACAGTTGACCGACATGGAGGCATTCGAAGGAGGACGATGGCGGTGTCGGCGGCGGCGGCGGCGACGACGTCCTCCTCCTCCTTCTCCTGCTCCTCCTCCTCCTCCTTCCCCTCCTCCTCCTCCTGCTCCTTCTCCTTCTCCTCCTCTTCATCCTCCTCCATTCCTTTCTCTTATAAGTTCTCCCCGTCGCACCGTGCGGCCAGTTTTTAGGGGGGCGGGCGTTTCGTTTTTGACTTCCTCACCCTGCATCTTAAACAAATGGCAGCAGTTTCGCAGATGGAGGGCGGGTGATTTTCAACATGTGGCTCTCGCCTTGCGCCGCGCACATTATTCGTTTTTAGAAATTTGTAAGAGTTTCAGGGATTGCGGGCGAGTCGTTTTCAAAATGCGACTCTCGCCTTAGCGCCGCGCACATTCGTTTAAACAAGTTGCGAGAGCTTCACGGATTGAGGGCGAGTCGTTTTCAAAATGTGGCTCCCGCCTTAGGGCCGTACACATTCGTTTAAACAAGTTGCGAGAGCTTCACGGATTGAGGGCGAGTCGTTTTCAAAATGTGGTTCTCGCCTTAGCGCTGCGCGAATTCGATAAACAAAATTGCAAGAGTTTCACGGATTGAAGGCGGGTGGTTTTCAACATGTGGCTCTCGCCTTAGCGCCGCGCGCATTCGTTTTAGAAATTTGTAAGAGATTCAGGGATTGCGGGCGTTTTTTTTTTTTTTTTTTTTTTTTTTTCAAACTGTGGCTCTCGCATTAGCGCCGCGCACATTCGTTTCAGCAAACTTGCAAGAGTTTCAGGGATTGCGGGCGGTTGGTTTTCACAATGTGGCTCTCGCCTTAGCGCCACGCACATTCGTTTAAACAAGCTGCAAGAGTTTCACGGATTGAGGGCGAGTCGTTTTCAAAATTTGGCTCTCGCATTCGTGTCGCGTTCAAAAACATAGCAAGAGTTCCACCGATTCCCATGATCAGCGTACCAGCAATGGTGTTTTGAAGGATTCAAGATTATGCTGGTACAACACTTATGTTGGTTCGTTGTGCCGAAGTCCCAAAAATGGCGTTCTGCCACGATTCTGGATCGCCAATACGCAGCAGTCAGGTTGATCCGTGGCGTTGACATCCCGAGCAATGCCTTGGCATGATTCAGGGTCTTCGATCGGTTGTCTCTCAACGAGGCAGTGCCCTCCATGGAAATGATCCGTTGTGGGGCCTATAACAAGGGAGCTCGGAGGGAGGGTTACTTCCAACATCGTTGATGACTCTTGGGTTTAAACTTGTCCTTTTCCTCCTCCTCCTCCTCCTCCCTCCTCCTCCCTCCTCCTCCTCCTCCTCCTCCTCCTCCTCCTCCTCCTCCTCCTCCTGCACACCCCAGGTGGGGCTTGGGATCGTGATGCTGCTGCTGGCCGTGCTGGTGGGCGCCCCCCTTGCATGCGGCTCCCCTTCCTTATACCGTCCACGGCCTCGCCGCCCTGCTCGTCTTTCTCCTGAGCAGGAGGAGGAGGAGGAGGAGGAGGAGGAGGAGGAGGAGGAGGAGGAGGAGGAGGAGGAGGAGGAGGAGGAGGAAGAGGGAGGAGGAGGAGGAGAGGAGGAGGAGGAGGAGGAGGAGGAGGGAGGAGGAGGGGAGGAGGAGGCGGAGGAGGAGGAGGACCGCGGCGTCGCCCGTTGGCCCCCCCCCCCGGGCCGCCTTCCTGGGCTTCGGCCTCCCGCTCCTCACTTTGTTCCTCCTGCGTTCCCGCCTGCTCCTCTCCGCGACCTTCCATCCTCCCCCCCCGCCCGCATCCTGCTCCTACTGTCCCGCCTTCTCCTTCTTGTATCCTCGCTCCCATGCCTGCTCATCGGTTACCCTCTGTCTGATCCTCCTGCTGCCTTTCCTCCGTCTGCTCCTTATCCGCCTGTTTCTTCTCTTCGTCTTCCTCCTTCCCTTCCTGTTCTTGCTGCTCCTGTTCTGCTTGCTTATCACTGCCCACGCTCCTGTCCTCCTCTCCCTCTCCTCTTCGCTCTTCGTTTTTTGATTCTTCACATTCGTTTCGTATCCCTCCCCCTGCCCCTTCCTCTCATCCCTCCTCCTCCCCCTCCTCCTCCCCCTCCTCATCACCATCATCATCGTCGCCATCCTTGTCACCATCATCACCATAATTCTTACCTTCATCACCATCGTCCCCACACTCCTCATTATCGTCACCATTATCCTCCTCCTCCTCCGCACCTTCGCCACCATCACCACCATATTATCATCACAGCCATCGCCAAGTCCATGACCACCATTACCATCATCATCACCACCATTATACCAAACATCATCTTCATCATCGTCGTCGTCATCATCGTCGCCGTCGTCATCATCACGCTGCACGTGCAGCCCCTTCCTCCCATGGTGTGCGCGGCTCGTCTCGACTGAATCGTGCAGCAGCTGGCTGCAGGGCGCCTCAGCCGATTTCGCATGAACGCCTACGACGGCAGGACGGTGTCCCACATCATTCCTCACGAGTGAAGTACAGCACGGCGTGATCAACTTGTTCACAGTCAGCCTTGTCAACTCCCTGCTGCAGCAGATTGAGCAGTTCAACGTTGTTGATCATGGCCATCGGTCTTCTGACGGCGAGTGCCACGTATCCTCTGTGTGTTCGAGGCCATTCGCAGTGCGCCGCCTGCGGTGGCTATGCAGCGAGAGCCCGGCGATGGTGATCCTAACGACGATGATTACGATGTTCTTCACGATGGCGGCCCTCTCCGTGCTCGCTGGCGTCGATCGGAGAAACAAAAACGCCATGAACACAAGCTTGTGGCGCTCCGCGCGGATTTCCTGGATGCGCGCTGGGCCCTCTCGGCGGCGCCTTTGGCGTCCGGGTGTCCAGCGCAGATCCAAGAAATCCGCGCGGAGCGCCACAAGTTTATGTTCATGGCGTTTGTTCTTCTTCTAGTCGAGCGGCTTCTCGTTCTGCTGACCGTGCTGATCCATAGCATGCGCCTGGAGCCACTGACCCTTGGTCGTCTGGGCCGCTGCTCGAGGCAACTCGGACTCAGGTCTCTTCCGCTGGGAATGTGCTCTGGTCTGGAGGTGATGCGAGGGACCATGATCCAGATCCTGTTCGTCATCCTAGTCTTCATCATCGTTCTGCCGATCCTCACGGGCTTCAGCCAGGGCATGGTGATAGTGGCCCTGGCGGGGCTCCCGTCCCTCATCCCGTGCCGCTCGTGGCCCGGATGGTGGTCCTCGCGTGCTTCCTGGTGATGTCCATGCTCGTGCTGGTCATAGCGCTGTTCGTGGGTGGTGATCATCGGGCATGTGCGGATGATGTGGTGGCTGAGCGTATCCAGGCGCTCCGGCAGGATATGCATGGTGCGCGGCATGCCATTGGTCGTAATCGTGGCCTGCTTCATCGAATGGATGATTGTCTTTCCAGGCTCCCTGAGGGCCCTGCCTGGGCAGCTGACGCCCGGAACGAGCTGTGGACATCGCGCTGGAAGTTGTCCGCTGCCATCAGTGACAGCGAGGCCCGATTAGATTCCGCCTCTCGCAAGTTATTATCCTGAGCTGTGTGTTTTGTTCCCCTCCCCCTCCTCCCGCCCCTCCCACTCCACCCTCCTCCTCCTACTCCTCCTCCTTCTCCTCCTCTGGGCCCAGATCTGCAGATTTAATCGCAATCGGGCCGCCCCTCGAAGGCTGTCGTAGTGTCGTAACGCAGATTTTCGCTCGCATAGTTCATCAGTCGGAGACCTCGTGCATAGGAGCATTTGGTCATCGTCGTCATCATCATCATCATCACTATCTTCATTGTCTTCATCATCATCGTCCTCGTCATCGTCGCCATCGTCATCGATTCCGCCACCGTCATCACCATCACCATCATCAGCAGCATCATCAGCATCCTCATCATCCGCATCAGCAGCAGCAGCATCACCATCATCATCATTAACACCAGCGTCGACGTCGGCATCATCATCCGAATCGTCGTCGTCGTTGCCATCATCATCGTCAACGTCATCGTTGCCGTCATCGTAATCAGCATCATCATCATCATCATCATCATCATCATCATCATCATCATCATCATCATCATCATCTCCGTCATTTTCATTATTCTCATCGTCAGTATCAATATCATCAGCACCATCATCATAATATCCATCATCACCATCGTCAATATCATGACCCGCATCACCGCCAGCACCATCAGCAGTATCATCGTCAGCATCAAAGCCATCATCACCATCATCATTGTCGTCGTCATCATCGGCATTACCATCGTCATCATCATCACCATCACTGACACCGTCATCATCATCAGCATCATCATAATCTTCGTCATCATCATCGCCATCTCCATCACTATCGTCAGCATCAGCACTAAAATCACCACCGTCATCTTCACCATGCTTGTCGTCATCACCACCACCATCACCATCGTATCATAAATATCAGCATCATCAGCATCATCATCATGATCACCATCACAAACATCCGCATCATCGGCAACAGCATCGTCACCATCATCATCAGCATCGTCGTCATCATCACCAACAACAATTCAATCATCAGCATCATCAGCACCTTAATCATCGTCACCATCATCACCGCCATCATCATCGCCACCATCATCGTCACCACCATCATCATCAGCATCATCACAATCATCACCATCCTCCCGTCCTCCTCCCCTCCTTATCCACATAGTTGGTCCCCCCCCCAGCTCTCTGCACTCGTGTCGAAGCTTACGTCGTCATTCCGCCTCTTTCCCCTTCTGCTTTGGCCCTTGCTAATGTCTTGGATTCTAACCTCTGCTTTCGGACCCTTTCCAGGAATGAATAAGGTAACCAGGAGTGGAGGTGGAGGATGATGAATTGGATACGTCTGAGGAGCAACTCCAGTAGAGGAGGTGATGATGATGGTTGTGGTGAGCGTGAGCGTGATCGTGATCGTGGCGGTGAGGGCGATGATGTTTTCGATAATGTTGAACATGGTGGCAAAGATGATGATGCTGATGATGATGATGCTAATGATGATGATAAAGATGATGATGCTGATGGTGATGCTGATGATCGTGATGATGATGGTGATGGTGGTACAGCTGGTGATGATTATGCTGATGATGGTGGTAATTATTATGATGATGCTGATGCGGCTGCTGATGACGATGATGGATCTCATACTAATGATGATGACGATGATCGTGATGGCGATGACGACGATGGTGGTGATGATTACGACGGTGATGATCGATGATGGTGACGTTGATGAGGATGAGGATGAGGATGGTGACGCTGATGATGATGATGCTGATGACTAGGATGATGCTGCTAATGATGATGATGATGATGATGCTGATGATGATGATGATGATGATGATGATGCTGATGATGATGATGATGATGATGATGATGATGATGATGATGACGGTGGTGGTGGTGATGGTGAGGACGGTGACGAAGATGAGGATCAGGCGCAGCGGGAATATGATTCTTGAGATGATGTCGGTCTATGGGTGACACAAGTGGTGATACTGATGAGGAGGATGAGGAGGAGGAGAGGAGGGCAACGCCAACGACTACAGCTACCATGACGATGATACTGGCTTGACGCCGTTCCGCTGTTCCCCCAGCTGGCGCATGCAGTAGGCGGTATCTCGATGTTGGATGTACCAGCGTATCTTTGATCTGAGGCCTGGCCTAGTTTCTCTCCATCTCTCTACTTTTCTTCTTCCTCTCTTCTCCTATCGCTGCCGTTTTTTTTACTTCGGGGTAGTGTTGTAAATTATGTCGCTGGTTAACTAGTCTCTGCTCTCAGCCGCGCTTGCCATGGAGGGCACGGTTTACTTGACAGGTGTTGCGGTCGTTCCCTTCATCTACCGTTCTCTTCCCTACGCTCGTTACATTTCACGCGCTCGCTCTCTCTCTCTCTCTCTCAGGCCACGGTGCACCTCATGAGTTGACCTGCCGCAGGTCGGTTCGTGGGTTGCACCCAGTATGCCTGGCGACTCTCTGAACTGCATGACAGTTGTTTGAGTTCATCTGTTTGTTTGAGGAATGACGATTGTGACGATAATGCTGATGATGAGCAGGAGGAGGATGGTGATGATGATGACGATGCTGATGATGTTGATTATTATGACGATGACGATGAATATGATAACAATAATGCTGATGATGAGGGTTACGATGAAGATGATGCGGGTGATGATGAAGATAGTGAGGATGATGATGATGAAGCTGAATCTGAAGATGATGGTGCTGAAGAGGATGATGCTGCTGATGATGCTGAGCAATCTGATGATGATGTTGATGATGATGGTGATGATCATGATGACGATGACGTTGCTGATGATGATGGTGCCGACTATGATGATGATGCTGATGCTGATGCTGATGCTGCTGTTGATGATGATGCTGCTTATGATGATGATGATGATGATGATGATGATGATGATGTTGCTGTTGAGGATGATGATGTTGATGACGATAACGATGACGATGACGACGATGATGATGATGCTGTCGATGATGCTGATGCT